ACACGGAAGCAGCGGGGCCGAGCTGCCGCTCCGGCCGTAGCAGCCCGTAGGCTTTAGGACTTAGGCAGCTTGTGGGAAGGCCACGGATGCCAACGGCAACAGGAAAAAAGGTGCGAAAAAAAAGCACAACACGCGCAACCCGAGGAAAGCTTCGCAGAGAACTGAAGCAGCCCAGTTAGCGGCAGGTGATTTCTTGGAGTGAGAAAGTTCGCAAATTTTTTCGTGCGAAAGCATGAAGTCTTTGACAATCCGTGCAAGCGCAAGTACTGGTTCCGCGGCGGTGCAATGGTCAAGACAAGCAAGGCCACAAAGAGCTTGGAGCTCCGCTGCAGCTTTGCGCCGTGCAGGGTTCAGGGTCTAGGGCAGTCTAGGGCTGCGGGTTTAGGGTTTTGGGTTTTGGCGACATGTGTTCGGGTTGGGCACTTAGCAGGTTATTTAACAATAAAAACTAAAGCAGCAATCCGCCCAACTTGACACTGGCAACATAAACTGCTCGCAAGAACGTCTGGCCCGCTCTGGAGACGTCGAACAGGGGAGTGTAGGCCAGCTCATAGTTGCTGAGTCCTGAGAATGGATCGTGCGGCTTAAGAGACGGTTCATTAAAATTTTCGTGCGTTACATGAAGGACTCTAAGCTATAAGAAATATGGAAGATTCCTTATAATGAGCACGGCAGGTGTTACATCAGCAACCCATGCTGTTGGAGAAAATGAAGCACTGCGACTTCGCCTTGACACAAACAAGCATCGAGGGCGGTGGCCCTGAAACCTTTCGGCTTAAAACCAAAACCTAAAAGCTTAAACTTAAACCCGAAACTACCAGCCCTAAGCCCTAAGCCCTAAACCCTGTGCCCGTCAGGGCTCCAGCTGATTCTGCTGTGCACTTGGTTGGGAAGCTGGAGTAGTTCTTCGACCAGCTTTACAGCAAGCTACGTGTCGCTCCCATAGCACGGAACCTTGCCCAGGGGAGCGTGTTGATGTCAGGTCTGCGAGGTACCGACACGTTGACTTCCTCAAGGCAGTCAACAGCATCATGTTCCCTTAAGTCCTGAATATGCCGGGAACAATATGTTTGTCGTCACTTCTAGTCCATGGGTGCGGTATTCAAACTTCCTGCAACTAAAACACACTACACTTGCATGAGTCACCCCCATGCCCCACATTACGGTTCCAACCTTCCGGCCCAGCTCCCTTGGCCACCTTGCCACCCATGGCCGAAACACGCGAGCTGCTGGAATGCCGCATCTGCGGCGGGCGGCCGGCGACCGACCGACCGGGGCCATTGCGGGCCGTGCGATGCAGTGGCGCACGTGCAAGGCATGGTCCATGGGAGTGACCTCAAGCGTGGATGGTGGTGGTCGTTTCCTCCCTGCTCCACGGTGCGTCGGATGATGGGCTCCATCAATGCCTTGCTTTTTGGACCACCCCGTCGTCGAAGCCCCCGTCGCCAACGAAAGCCGGAGGCGGAGCTTCATTCGCCGCGGCCGCATGGACATCGGCAAAGGCGAGAAGGGCAAGGGCAGGCGCAGGGAGAAGGGCAAGGGCAAGGGCGGGCCTCCACCGCGCTGAGGCGGCTGTGATTCATCGACGACTGCTGTGGCGTGTGAGGTTGCCGCAGCCGCCCAGGGCAGTGCAGGACCGCTTGTGACACAGCGCAGGCGGCCCTTGACCGGCGACGCCTCTCGGCGGTCGCGTTTGTTTTACAAACTAGACCCTTAAGAGAGCCGCCGATGAGAGCCGCAGTGTGCGCGAGCAGCAGGAGTCCTGAAACAACTGTCTCGCGGTCACCAGTATATACACAGTGAAACGAAATATAAAAACAGATATATATATATATACACACATACAGAACACACACCTTTGCCACTTCAGATCACCGGTTCAAGCCTTCCAGCCATGAACGCTGGGCTTGACACGCATGTCTCAGAGCTCCGGAAGCCGATTTTGGGCTCTTCTCCAAAGAAAACTAAGGGTTTCAATAGGGGTTTGGATAGGGGTTTGGGGGGCTGGTGTCTCAGAGCTTTGCATGCCGATTTTGAGCTTCTTTCAGAGGAAAAAAAAGGTTTGAATAGGGGTTTGGATAGGGGTTTGGATAGGGGCTTGGATCGGGGTTTTGTTTTTCTTCAACGGACCTTTTTGCAAGCATCCGGGCGCGGTCCCAGCGCAGCAGACTACCGGAGCCAACCAAACCCACGACCAAACCCCTAACTATCCCGAGCACGGAAGCAAGCTCAACCCATGCGGGTCGCGAACGGAGGTGTTTCGGAGGAATCAGCGAGGACGTCACTCAAGAGAGGGGCCTCGCCATCAAGGTTGGCGGTGTTGGAGATGGGAAGTGACAGCAAGCTGGCATCGGGGTTTGGATACGATTTGGATACGATTCCCCTCCTGCCTGGGGGGGCCCTGTCTCAGAGCTTCGGAAGCCGATTTTGGGCTCCTTTCCAAGGCGATACGATTTGGATACGATTCCCCCTCCGTCTTTGTACTCTTCGGACGCGAGTTCCAACCCTGGCCGAAAGGCGTTGTACCCGGAATCGTGATGGAAACCGTATTGGAACCCCTACTGAAATCGTATTGAATTCGTATTGCTTCTGGACGAGAGCGTATCGCCCCCCGTATCGTATCCGAATTGTATCAGAACCGTTTCTCCCGACAAGCGGAAAACGCCAATCCTATCACTGAATCGTATCGGTACCCCTGTCCAAATGCTATTCCAAAAATAATCTTCGATCGGGCCTTGAGGCTGAACTAGCAACTCTTGGGGGTAGGAGTTGTTCGGTTCTTTCTGGTTAATTGCACGCAAGTTCGTTCTGCTACAGTACAGTCTGCTGGAAATAGGTCGTTTGCGCTTTTGCCTGGGCAGGACGCTAGGCGTCGGCAGATCCTCGCGGACGCTGGGATGTGAGCCTCACTGTCGCACGCGGCGTGCCTCTGAAGACGCCGTCCCTTGTAAGTTTGCTCGTTGAGACGGCCTTTGACGGCCGCCGATTCGAGAAATCGCGCTGTTAAGGTTTCTTTACGGAAAAACGAGCTGCCCTGCGCTTCTGTGCGTGCGCCAGCGCTGGGATGCTCGAGAACGGGCACGTGTGGTCGGCGGCAGCGACTCTAGCTCGTGTGGTTGTAGTCTCCAGAGAGCCTCAAATGCAGCCTCTAGAAAGCGACAAGCCAGTTTCTAGAGCTGTGACAGCCCTGCAGGAAGCCCCCCCCGCCTGCAGCGCAGGACATGTTGCCTTAGCAGAAAGTCTTCGGTGCCAGCTTCTTTGGTCATTCCGTGCCGGCACCGCCATGGTTGACGGCGACCCTCGATTCGCTTCGACCAAACCCTGCCATTTGCCTGCGCCTCCCTCGCTGCCTAGCAGAGCTGCAGACGCTTTCTGGCAGGAGCAAAAAGGCATGCAGCAAAATAATGCCCGTGAGGAAAATCGGTATTGTTCAACAAGCGACAATCATACCAGGGCCAAGTCCTGAGTGGCTGCATGGGAAAATTTTCGCCATAATTCGACTGCTGCGTGGCATGTCGGGGCATCAAAAACATTGACATGTTGTCATGTTGTCCGACTGCGAGGCATTTCTTGCTTTAGCGAGGAAAATTCAAAGAACAATGGATGCCGCTCAACCATTTTTTGGTTCTACCGCGCACTGGATCCCGCAGGCCCGTTGCACACAACCGTGCTCCAAACAACTTGCTATTTCTCAGCGGCAGCACCCTCGCTCGCCAAATTTGACCAAATCTGATCACTCAAGCATTACATACACGTCAAGTCAAAGATGATCGCGTGGATGCGGGCAATCACCGCCGGATCCTCGCGTACGGTCACAGTAGAGCTCAACGCGCAATCCACCAGAGTGGTACGGAAGGCTTCGTAGAGTTCGTGGACCCTCGGGCGGCTTGACCACGCAAGTGTCGTCCAAGAAGCTGAAAGCAGCTTTGTCGTCACCCAATGGCTCTCGAACATCGAACAGGCAGGCTGCTGGGCGAGGGCAAGCAGTGCCGGCATGAAGGGGTCGCCTTGCCACCCGCTTCACCCTGGATGATGTCGTGCCTCCGACCTTGCTGCATGTCGACCTACGAGTAGGTGCCGGGCTTCCGTAGAGTTGGCGCGTTTGCAGCTTCGGGTGGCGGAGCAAAGCACACTGCCTAGCGGGAAACATGGCCGAAGGCACCGACTGCATCGACAGAGAGGACCGTTGCCCGCGGGTCATGCTCGGTGGCGGCACGGAGTACGCGCATTGAAGCTTCAGTCCCCAGTCGCACGCGGGGAAAGGTGGCGCAAAAACTTGGGCGAGGTTGCGGCCGACTAGGCGGCACAGGACATCGCTGATGACATGCACGGGGGCATTGGGACAGCTTGTGTGCCAGGCGGCAAAAAGCACAGGGCACCGCCGAACGGCCCAGCAGCGGCTCCCTGTCCGACCGGAAGCACTGGAAACTTTGAGAAACCCATGACATCTGGCGTGGGGGCGGCGTGTGGATCGCGAAGCTCAGCGAGGGCGGCGAGCGTGCCTGGTGCGAGGCTGGGCGACCAGAGCTCGACCAGCTTTGTGCACCAAGGCTGTGGCTCGTGCTGCCCGGCCATCGACATCATCGGGCGTGTTGTGAGAAGTTGGGTTGGCGGCAGGCCCTTTAACAACTGGTGGGGCAGCTTGCGGCAGCAGCTCGCCCTACGCCCCACTCGCGGAAAGCCCGCAGCGGCGGTCGAGCTCCGCACCGGGAACACGACCTTGCCCAGCGGCTCGGAAGAGGAACAGGAGCGGCAAAACAGTCAAAACAGTTTCCATCCGCGGAGCTCCAACTGCCGTGTCTTGCTGCCATCTGCAATTTGAGCACTTGCGACCTCCAAGTGCTTGTGCTGTTCATTGGAATCGCGGTTGTATGGATGAGAGGCCTGCTGGTGTCCCGAGTGGTCGCGAACTGGAACATCCGCCGTCACGGCATACGGTCCTGCACTTTGTACCGGGACTTTACACTTCATGTCATGGCCAAAGCGCCTCCCACGCTCAGGCTGCAACCACGAATGGCGCAAGGCAATCCATGTGTTGGAGGTTTGGTTGCGGGGATGTGTGACCAAGCTACACTATACTATGTTTTCGCGCGACATATGCGGCTGCAGGACCTCCGCTCTAACGCCCTGCAAGTGAATGCGGCCCCGTTCAATGCTGCGATACGCGCATTGTCCGCTGAATCCGGGGCGAGGCTTCGTGTGGGTGGAGAGTATCAATTCGTGGAAGATGATCTTTGCGCAGCACAGGAGCCGGACTAGGGAGCGTCGATGGCAGATGGCATTGATTACAGCAGAGGACCGCCGTCGTCAACGAGTTAACAGCACAGGGCCAGCATTCGTGATGCAGGAGCTCATGCTCTTCGGTCCGGAGCCGGACTCTATCACGCTGAACACAGCGGCCGCATGTCGTCGCAAAAGTTGGTTGATTTCACTTTCCCACGTTTTCGGCTTGCGGGGGGTTTCCACTTTTCCAGAATTCTGCGTGCGGCATAATCAAGTCGACGCAAGATGGGTTCGAAGTTCGGTGTGGCCGCAGCCAATCTTCGGATGTCGTAAGCTGGGGAATTCATTCCTGTCCTTTTGGAGCTTTCTAGTTTCGTGTTTTCTTTTGCACAGCTGCATAGTCAAACTGAGCAACATGGTTCATCGGCTTGGAAGCTACAGCACATCAGTTGGCCGTGCCATGCTTTACCAATGAATTGCATACTGCAGCACGTGCAGCAGTAAGGAACAATTGAAACTCACCCTTCGCCTACCATCCTCCCTTCCCTGCGTCGTCGTTTGTTTTGTCTGCTTTTGCCGTTGAAACTCACATGATCACCAGAAGCTCCGGGACGTGCAACAACCACTTTTTACCAGTAAAACCGAATGGAAAGAACAGCTGTTCCATTCGTCTTCCATGGTTTGGTCGGCCGGGCTATCGTTTTGGCACGCTGTTACTGCTGAAACTGTTTTTGGAATCAACATGAATCAACCATTGTCCGATGTGGAACTCACCTCAATTTCCGACGCGGGAAATGCAGGAGAAGCATCCAACGAACCAGAGGGTATTGACATAAGCCGACTCTGAGGTGAGTACCTGTGCATCGGCACGCGCCTGGCAAGCAGCAGTTTCCACCATCAACGCCGGGCGGCAGTATGAATTTCGCCAAAGTTGTGCTTGCAGCTGAGTCGGGCTTCATGTGGATTCGGAAACTCCTGATATCTGAGGTCGCGCAGCGCTGGTTGGACGTTATACCAGACTCCATAAGCCGGAGCTTGGCAGTCTTTAAACACCATTTCGCGTCATGCAAGTGGGTCTCAGCCGAAGGTTTAAATACTGCGATGTCTGCATGCCCCGAGCCCAGCCGCATCACGTTGCATGTTCTGGGAAGGCATTCCAATAATTCCAGTATTCAGGGGCTCGTCCCACATGATGGCGCCGAAGCCGTTATTCAGAAGAGAGCAATCGTTGAACGCGAGGTTTGTGTGTGTGTGTGCCATGCGAAATTCCATTCAGCGGGAGTTGTGCGCAGCCATTCTTCATGCAAGGCGTTCGGCACTTTTGGCAGACGGTGGGGTGGGAAGGGGGCAGTCATGCTAGATCCGGTGCCTGCACACCCTTGACTTTATGGTGCTTGTGACATCTGGATCGCAGAGGCCGTGCATTGGTTGATCCTGAGGATGTCCCCGCTGTTGCACCTTGTTTTTCAAATCGCTGCAGTTGCCACAGTGCGAGCGGATTCATGTCGCACAGCAAACCGGGCCTTCTACTTCACAAGCTCCTGCGGCTTGCATTTAACCTAAATCGGAGATCACGCACACACACACACACATTCTCGGATGTTCGAGCTTCTGGAATTGAAAAGTGTGCATGTGTGTGTGATGCACGGCCAGAATGTTTTTCTGATCCCTTTAATGTTTGCATGCCGGCGCGGGCGATTGCAACTAACGGTAACTAACGCTTAGAACCCGATGCAGGCCGAGGTGCTTTACCTTGGATACTTCTGCAGAGTTTAGTTTTAATTAGCCCGACTGCTACTGCTACTTATGCCCTGTAGCAATGGCCCCTGCGCCCAAGGCGAGCGTGCGCAGGAGTGGGAGCACAGTCTTGTCCAATGCTCAGTTTTTGCCAATAACAACCGCCATGATCTCGCAAGGCAGTGTTTTGTAGCACAGTGCATCTTCCATCCAAGGCGTTGTTTTACTGCGAGATGCCGCGGTTGCGCATCGAGCCAACGTTGGTGTCGTTCAACGCTGCAATCAGCACTTGTGCTGCTGCCGGCCTGTGGCAGGCCGTGCTGTTGCTTGTAATTAGCCCACGTTTAGCAAAGTGAAAGATCATGCATGGACAAAGAGACAGCCAGTCAGACATAGACAGATAGAGACAGACAGACACTCAGACAGACAGACCGACCGACAGACAGACAGACACAGGCACAGGCGGACACGGACAGAAGGACAAACAGGCATACAACAATTGCGTTACATACATACTCGCATGCGAATGTGCATATGCGCATGCTATACGCTACGACTACGAGTATGCGAAAGTTTGCGGATGCGCCCCTGCATGCATATGCATCCACGAGATATCACGAGTTCATATATATATATATACATA